ACAAAACGATATGCTTTCATTCCAGTTTGATAACCAATGAAAGTTAATTTTTGTGCCCTGGGACCTCCCTTTCTTCTTTGCTTTAAAGGTATGTTCACCCATGCCTTTGACCCAAAAATTCTTAGGTGCTTCAAAGAAGGATTTTTACCATAGAGAGCCCTATAGGGAATGTCTTCAATTGTTCTACACCAAACTCTGTTGACATTGTAGGTGGCACATCTCAAGCACTCTGCCCAAAAGGACTTTGGTAAACCAGAATCTAATAACATAGAGTGCATCACCGTTTGTATAATTCCTGCTCGTCTTTCCACAATGCTATTTTCCTGAGGACAGGCTGTATTAGCCACTCTGTGTTCAATACCTTGTGCCTTTAACCATTTTTGCAAATCAGTAGCCATAAATTCACCTCCAAAATCAGTTTGAAGCTGCTGAATTTCTGTTCCTAACTGTTTTTGCACCTTTTTTGCCCATGTCTTAATTAATTCACATACCTCTGATTTCCTCTGCATAGGAAATGACCAACAGTACCTGCTGTGGTCGTCAACAATCAAAAGCCCATATCGTTTACCCGATAAGCTATTTTGATAGGGTCCTATTACGTCGGCGTGTACTAGGGCCAATACTTTATCTGTGGACCTTTGACTAGCCTTAGCTACTGGGTGTGTGCGTGATTTACTCTGCTTGCATATATCACAGTCTAAGTACATTTGGCATTTCTTTAACCTATCATGCCCTAGACATGCAAACGTTTTCTCTAATGTTGAGAATGACATGTGCCCCAGCCTTCTATGGTACATGTGGATACATTCATCATGCAATGCTTGATTGCTAATTACAGTTTTCACTTGCCCTGGAACGTTATCAAGAATATATACACCATTCTCCACTTTGCCAGTGGCAAGGACCTTATCTGCCTTCTGTATCACACATTGCTGTTCAGTAAATGTTACCCTGAACCCAGCTTTAGTTAATTCACCGATGCTTAATAAGTTGTGTTGGAGGCTAGGAACGCATAACACATTTTCAAAAGCATGATTCAAACAATGAAAATAAATTGTTCCTTGCACATTTGCTGATGCTGGTGCACCATCAGCCAAACTCACGTGTGCTGGACTAGCTGGCTGAGAGTCAGTCAGCAAGCTTGCGTCCCTTGTGAAATTCTGGGATGCGCCAGAGTCCAGGACCCATTTGTCCCTTTCAGAAGACCCTGACGCTGTCACCAATGTTGCTTGATGGGTGGCCACATGTTGAGGCTTGACACCGCCTCCGTCCTTGAGAACGTTGGTGGCCCTTTCTTTCTTCCGCGGGCAAAATCTTTTGATGTGGCCGGTTTCATTGCACAAAAAACATCTGCGTGCCTTCACGTGTAGAAGCGAAGATGCTTTCTCATCCTGTCGCTGACTCGTATGCTGCAGGCTGGCTAAACACCTGCTTTGGTTGGCTTGCTTCCCAGAATAGCTGGCTTGCTTCCCGGAGTAGCTGGCTGCCGTCCCGGACCTGCTGGCGTTGTTCCCAGGATGGCCGTTTGCCAACTCCCTCTGCCGGCCCCTCTGTTCGGCTTGAAGCAATCTTCCGGTCACATAATCAATTGAAAGATCCTCGGGCTTTACCCCTTCTAGAGCTGCCAGGGTCGGCTCAAAGGATTCAGGCAAAGAGCACAAAATTGTGTAGACCTGGTCTTCTTGAGAGATTTGTTTGCCCCTCTCAGTAAGAAGTTGAAAGCACTCATTTAAAGAGTCTAAGTGCCCTCTTAAATCATCTCCTTCTGCCATAACAGTCCTGTACAATCTCCTCAGGAGGGTAATTATTGAGCCTGAGGTTTTTTGTACATAAATATTTGCCAGAGCGTCCCATGCCTGCTTTGCCGAGGTCTTCCCAAATAGATAAACCAGCTGTGAGTCCGATACACTCAAGACTATAAAAGCCAGTGCCTTGTCTATTTGTATTTTCTCCTCTGGCGTGGGAGCCGCTGGGGGGGCTGAAACAAATGTCCACAGCCCTTCCTTTACAAGGAAGTGCTGCATCTTCATAGCCCACACTGTATAATTGGTGTAACTCAGCTTTTCAACAAACACGGCTGTTGGAGCCAAAGCCATGCTGATAAGCTCACCGGTTCCACTTGGTATCTGCTGCTGGACGGCGTCCTCTGTCTCTCCCGCCTCCTCCGAGCCGGACTGGGACGAGCTGTCGTCCGTGGACTGTGTTACTGCCTGGAAGACGTCCTCTTCCTCCTCCGAAGACATGCACGCTGTAGCTCACCAATTTGGACCTGGCAAACTTCCTCAGCTCAGTGCAGCCTTCTCCAACTGTACTCCAGCTCAGTAGCGCACCTCTGGGCCCATAACCCTGACGGCATGCGCAGAACGTCTGAATAATAATGATATCAGGATGCTGTATCTGAGCTATATACAGTGGCTTTTATTTACAGTTATTTACACAGTCCTTTCCACCATGCGGTATCCCAGGTTCATAGAACTGACCGACAAGGTGCTTCGCAATACACTCTTCCACTGGTGTGGAACACTTGCCTCTGGACTACATTACATATATACAGTACTTGCACCAATCAGAGTCATTTTGCCAACTCATGGTGACATAGTTAATTAGCTGATGCAACCTAGTGCAACTTGCATCTGGTGACCCTGTCACATGACAGTCTTACCTGTCACCCAGATCAGTTTAATCTGACATGTGTGCATCATTGGCTGTCATCTTGCATACATATAATACAATATGCCAACAGGCTCAATTAAGATATTGCTCGATGCATTACTGCTGCTGGGAGTTACCAAACTGAATTGAGGGGCATGTCCCACCAAGAGGACAGGAAGTGAAGTTTTGGTTCCTGCCTCCCTAAGGATAGGGTGGGAAACACCCCATCAAGATGTCCTCCTTATCTCAGAGGAGAAGGACCCTTCACAGTAAGTACTAGTGGCCCTGTCTCTGTATCAACACAGCTGTTTTCCCATGCATCTTGAGAAAGGACTGCTTTCATGGGCTGAGGCCACTTTAATCTGCATTTTCACACTGACCATGCTGTGTGAAAAATGCATAAATTGCACAGGTCGCATAAAACTGTTCCTTTGCCCCTCTTCCTCCTTGTTACCTCACTGCCTTGGACCAGAAGAGCATATTGCTTGAATCACCTGAAATTTGTCTTCGTGACTTTTTCCTTCAGGTTGTACTGCTGTTTTTTGTAGCTGTTGTATTAACTTCCTTAATAGCCAAGTTGAGCAAGCTGCCCTGACATGTCAGTTAACCACCTGCAACATTCAAGTGGGTTATTTGCAGATCTGCTTTGGAGACAGCTGTGTGCCACTTGGACTTCTGAGGGGTTGATTAATTTTTTCCAGATAGGAGCTATGCATTTATTATTAAGGTCTCTCTTTATTTCTCTCAGTAATTTGTCATAATTGTTTTCTTTCAACATACTGTTTTTATTTGTCAATATTATTCCTAAGTATTTCACCTTATTTACCACCTCTATCTCTGTTTTTCTTTGTATTTCCTTTATAACATTTTGTATATAGTTTTTTGTTAATATATTGGTTTTTCTAATATTTATTTTTAGTCCTGCTACTTCTCCATATTTCCTTATTTCATCCAACAAAATTTTTATAGAAACCAAGGGTTCCTCCAGAATAAATACCAGGTCATCTGCAAATGCCTGCAATTTAAATTCTTCCCCTCCAGTTTTCAGTCCTCTTATATCTTTATTGTTTTTAATTGAGTCATTTAATGTCTCCAGTATAAAGTTGAAAACTAGTGGAGAGAGTGGACATCCTTGTCTTGTGCCTTTTTGTATTAAAATTTCATCTGTTATGTCCCCATTAAATGTTACTTTTGCTGATTGTTTTTTATATATAGCCATAATAATTGTTGAGAAGTCCTCTCCACAGTCCCACTTTTGGAGTTTTTGTGCTAGAAAGCCCCAAGAGACATTATCGAATGCCTTCTCTGCATCCATAAACATTAGTGCCACTTGTTTTTCTGGGTGATTTTCATAGTACTCAATAACATTGATTATATTTCTTATATTATTCTTCAGAGTTCTTTTAGGTAGAAAACCAGATTGGTCTTGATGTATAATTTGACGTAAAACCTTTAATCTTTCTGCTAAAATTTTAGCAAATATTTTATAATCAGCATTTAATAAAGATATTGGGCGGTAGTTCTTAATTTCTTTCCCTTCTGTTCCTGGTTTTGGTATTAATGTAATCAATGCTTCATTCCGTGAGTTCGGTATTCTTTCTTCTTTGATTATATTTTGCAATAAATTCTTTAAAGGTAAGGCTATTTGTTCTTCAAAACTTTGATAGGTTTCAATAGAGAATCCATCTGGGCCAGGTGTTTTCTTTTTTTCCCCTGAGTTTTAATCGCTTCCACTATTTCATGTATTGTTATTGGGTCGTTCAGAATTTTTTTCTGCGCTTCTGTAAATCTTCCTCTAGATTTTTGATTTAAATATTCTTTTATTTTTTGTGGGTCTTGTAAATCTGTTGCATAAAGTTTTGTATAGTAATCCTCAATAATTATTTTCATCTCCTTATTGGTATATTTTATTTCATTTTTTGAATTTTTAATGCTAATATATTTCTGCCCTCTTCATCCTTCTTCAGTTTGTATGCTAACCACCTTGATATTTTATATGCGTGTTCAAAATAATATTGTTTTGTATACTCTATTTTCCTTGCAATTTCATAAGTCAAAGGAGCTATGCATTCTGGGCAGGATTTAGTCACTAAATTGCTGCTTTTGCTTGCAGAAGCTGCACTGAACAAACCGAATGCTGCACTGAACCAAAAACAGCCTCTTAGCCCCAAACCTCCAGAGTAAAAATAATGTCTCTTAAGTTGGAATGCACATAGCACTGTATTTTAAATGCCTCCTTTTAACATATTTCACCATTCTTTTTCAAAAGAAAACTCCAACCAAATGCTTTACTAGAGTGCCAGCTTATGTTTCAATTTGTAACAATTAATTTGTTCTTTTATGGGCAGGCAAGTTTAAGCCACCATTATTCCACCCGAATGTGTACCTGTCAGGTACAGTGTGTCTGTCCATCTTAGAAGAGGATAAGGATTGGAGGCCTGCCATCACAATTAAACAGGTAGGTCCTTTTCTGGCACAATGTTCTCAGAGCCTCTCTGTAGGCAAAGTGAGGCTGGGAGAAATGGATTTTAAATCATTCTGTTCAATTGAGATTTAAACCCTTGACTTAGATCTGATGTGCAGCATTCTGGGTCATATTTCTGGAATCCACATGCATACGGATTTGTAGCAAATTATGCCCAGAAACATAATCAAAGAAAAAAAAATTAAAATCCACTTTTGGGGAACGTATTTTTTAATATCAACCGAGTGTGCTGCATTTTATAGTAACATGTTTGTGCAAGGAGGTATGGTTTCTGTCTCTGGAATCTTGTAGATCTTGTTAGGAATCCAAGAACTCCTAAATGAACCAAATATTCAAGATCCAGCTCAAGCAGAGGCCTACACAATTTATTGGTGAGTAGCTCGTTAAACCTGGCCAAGCTTGGTGACAGTTCTTTTTGGATGTATTTTTTTGTTTTACTTCTAAGCTTTTTAAAATACTTTATATCATTTATTTTACTCCTTACAATAGGAAACACACATCTGGGTGAAACTATATTGTCCCGTTCCCCCCCTCCCCCCGTTAATGAAGCCAAGGATCATCCTCCCACTTAAGGGATTGTCTCTGCCCAATTTCAGAGCACAGGAAAGGTCCTTGCTTTGTAGGTGGTGAAAACTTGCAGGGGCTTCAGAGGCTCAGAGAGCAAGGGACATCTGGCACAAATGAGTCTTGGGAGATCGGGGGGGGGGGGAGTGTCCGTGTGTAGATTCTTCAGACACTGAGTTGGAACACAGGAGGAGCGGAAGCCCTGCCCCAAGCATTTTTCTCTCAGCTGAGCTTGTATCCTGGAAGTGCCCATTTCTAAATGAAAGGCAAGGCCTTGAAGAATCTCTGAACCACTCCTCCTCTACGATCTCTTCTTGCATTTTGATATAACCTTTATATTGCAGACCAGGGTGTATGTGTGTTTGAGGTAAATTAATGACTGGTGTAACATCTGAACTCAAGGCTTCATGGTTCATCAGCTGACACTCAGCAACTGTGCCGAAATAGCAATCTAGATGTTTTCTTGTTTCTGTTGCAAAAATCATTGAGGTGTCTGGAAGTAGCAAAATTAATGCACATCTTTGAAGTTAACTGTCTCGTGTTTGCTGCTGCAGCCTCGAATCCCATTTAAAACAAGCTTCATGGGCTTCTGGGCAGGAGAGAAAGGTGTAGTTGCTAAAGAGCAGGTGCAGGCAGGGTTTGGGCCCTGTGGCCAGAAAAGATGCTTCCACCCTCTTGGACGACCACTGCTTCCCAGTTCCTCCTCTTCCCCTGCCCCCTTTCCAAGTACTGACAGTTTGTGGTTTCTAACAAGCTTTTCGTGAGGGGGTGGAAGGGTCTGTTGTGATGGAAAGTGCTGGCTGTGGGCAAGAGTGTGTGGCACTCGCAGGCCGTGCTACTTTCCTCTTCTCCAGCCTGGATACTGCCATAGGTCAGAGATTTGAGTAGCCCACCCTTGACTGCTTTAAGGGGAGACATCATGGTGCCTTCTGAGTTCTGAAATACAATGATAGTCAGAACATCTGCTTTAGGTAACAGCTCCCTTGCATCCTTTGGAAGCCTAGTCATCTTATTCTCTTTATCCAGCCAAAACAGAGTGGAATATGAAAAGAGGGTTCGAGCACAAGCCAAGAAATTTGCACCATCATAAGCTCCTGTCATGCAGCATCTTAAAGGAAGGGATTCATTCGGCAAGAACTTGTTTACAAAACTTTTGCAGATCTTAGGGGAGGGGGTTGTAGGTGTGCCGTTTCTCCATATTCGCCACTTGTATACAGTTCTGAATTTGCTGAATTTCCCCCATCTTTTTTCATACAGGGTCTCTTCCTTCAGTCTTTTGTATTTTTGATTGTTATGTAAAGCTTGCTTTTATTTTAATATTGATGTCAGTATTTCAACTGCTGTAAAACTATAAACTTTTACACTTCTATAAATCCACTAGTATCTCCTAGTTTCTTTGCTCTCTGATGCAGGCATGCTTTAAACTGTTTAGAGTATATTTTGCCTCTACCTGGCTGTATGAAAAAAGCTCTCCACCCTGTTCCTTACATAAGAACATAAGAGACGCCAATGTTGGATCAGGCCAAAGGCCCATCCAGTCCAACACTCTGTGTCACACAGTGGCCAGAAATACCAGTGCCATCAGGAGGTCCAGCAGTGGGGCCAGGACATTAGAAGCCCTCCCACTGTTGACCCCCCCAAGCACCAAGAAGACAGAGCATCACTTGCCCCAGAGCCCCTAGCTATACCTTGTGGCTAATAGCCACTGATGGACCTCTGCTCCATATGCTTATCTAATTCCCTTTTGAAGCCATCCATGCTTGTAGCACCCACCACTTCCTGTGGCAGTGAATTCCAAGTGTTAATCACTCTTTGGGTGAAGAAGGACGTCCTTGCCCAGAACTGCACACAGTATTCCAAATGAGGTCTCACCATTGATTTATATAGGGGCATTATTATATTGGCTGATCTGTTTTCAATACCCTTCCTAATAATCCCCAGCATAGCATTGGCCTTCTTTATTGCAGTCACACACTGTCTCGACATTTTCAGTGAGTTATCCACTACAACTCCAAGATCTCTCTCTTGCTCAGTCTCTGCCAGTTCAGACCCCATCAATGTGTATTTATATTTAGGATTTTTGGCTCCAATGTGCATCACCTTGCACTTGGCCACATTGAACCCCATTTGCCATGTTGACGCCCACTCGCCCATCCTTGACAGATCCCCTTGGAGTGCCTCACAATCCTCACTGGATTTCACCACCCTGAACAACTTTGTATCATCCGCAAATTTAGCCACTTCACTGCTTACTCCCATCTCCAAATCATTAATGAACAAGTTAAAAAGCAGTGGACCAAGTACTGATCCCTGCGGTACCCCACTGCTTACCACCCTCCACTGAGAAAATTGCCCACCTACACTCACTCTCTGTTTTCTATGAACTAGCCAGTTTTTGATCCATAAAAGGACTTGTCCTTCTATCCCATGATTTTTGAGCTTACTTAGGAGCCTTTGATGAGGAACTTTATCAAAAGCTTTCTGGAAGTCAAGGTAAATAATATCTATTGGATCCCCCTTGTCCACATGTTTGTTCACCCCCTCAAAGAACACTAACAGGTTAGTGAGACAAGATCTTCCCTTACAGAAACCGTGCTGAGTCTGCCTCAATAGGTTTTGTTCATCTATGTGCCTACTAATTCTTTCCTTAATAATGGTTTCCACCAATTTACCCGGTATCGACGTCAGACTGACTGGCCTGTAATTTCCCGGATCTCCTCTGGAACCCTTTTTAAAGATGGGAGTAACATTAGTTACCTTCCAATCCTCAGGAATGGAGGCCTTCCCTTACTATGTTTTCTACCAATAAAGGTATAGGTGGTTGTTGCTTAAAAGCCTCAGATCCAAAGTCAGCCAGCATCTTGATTCTGCGTCACTTCCTTTGTGTTTTGGCATTTTGTCTGTGTTGCTGTTTAGAGTAAATAAATGGTTTCTATAAAGCTTCCTGGTCTGTCTCTTGCACTGATTCTCTGGTTCCCTTTGTCAGGTCAAGCTGTGGCCCCACAGCTTAGGGATCAGTCCCTGGCAGCTGCTGTGGAAATGAGCTTGAGTGAGACGAAAAATTCTTGTCTTGAGCCACTGGAGAACTTGCTAGGCCAGACAGCATTTTGCTGGATGTGAAAGAGTAGTTTCACGTGTACAAAGACTGTTCAGCATAAACAGGAGAAGATTAGAAATGCCAAATGCTTTCATTTGACCCTGGAAAAACGAGCAACATGCTGTGGTTTGGCAAAAAGGTGTAGGAAAACATGACCCCTCTACCATTGCATCTGCCCCCCCACCTCCACTTCAAAATGATGATTATAATGTATCAGTTTGTACTGTTTGGTGAAATAAACATTTAATGTTTAATTCAGGCAGCTAAACGTGGGCCCTAACAGATCTGTAGGCTTGTTCACTACAGTGCAGCAGTCTGTTCCCAAATAGTACTAGTACGTTGGTCAGCAACAAATCTGCTTTCTTTGCTGCTATTCCTGTGCCGTGCGGCCCCTTGAGCTACTGTCCTGAGTGCAGCAGTCAGTTCCCAGGCAGAGCCCAACAGTACATCAAGTAGGGAAGAGGAAGACAAGAGCCCCGCCTGCAGATGTGGCAGCAGCTAGTGCTTCTTGTGTAGAAACAGCTGGCCCACACCTGCACTGGGAGAGCAGTCTGCCAGCCCCACCTAAGCACAGTTGTCTGGGAGCAAGAGACCCGCTGAGGGCAAAGGGGCTCATAGTCTTAGCCTTTCTGAACACTTGCACCCATACAGACATACATGGTTCATTCCTGTTCTTCTGAGCTGCTGCTGCTGCTCAGTGACTCAGTTGTATCTTCATCTGCAGTAATCTTTCTACAAACCGAGGTCATCATTAAAAAAAAGCCAAGAAACTTCCCTGAAAGAGAAAATCACTGCAGTTCCTTACCCTCTGGCAGGCCTGGTGAGATTACAGAACTCCTTCCCAGACTCTCAACATCAAAAGGGTCTGAAAAGCCAAAAATCAAAATGGTTAGACAGTTGTATCCAACTTTTCCCTAAGGTACTGCAAGAGACCTCCCTCAAAGGGTTGGCCCTGAGGATTTTCCTAGCACAGATGATCTTTCCCATGTCTCTCCTGCCTTCTTTTGCACATGTTCCCATACCAGGTCTCACAGGGGTTGTAGGGTACTGGAAGGAAGAAATGGTGCTGTCAGCTCTGCACAGTCACAAGAGAAGTCCTGCTTGCCAGACACAGCAAGCTATTTCTCCTGTCTCTCCAGAAAGTCTTTCCTGGAGTCACTGGTGGCTACAGAAAGGGAGGGTGCCACAGGGGTTGCATCTGCAGACTTCTGTGGGCCAGAGAGAAAATAAAGGAAGGGAGCTTAACCCATAGGGATGTGGGGTATGTGTGTGTTACAAAATTAGTGTAGCCTTCTCTTTCTTAAAGAAAAGCCATCTCGGAGAGAGTTGAGTCGTATACCCCCGAAGGGGATGGTAACTCTAACTCAAGCCACAAAATAAACCTTCCTGGGAGGGCATGTCTTCCTTTTCTGGTGAACCTAAGGCGATGCCACAGGGCCTCACTAGGACAGAATGGTCCAGGAAAGGTATCCTCCCTCCATAAGCAGCAGCTGCCACCACTCCAGGAAGCACTTTTCTGAACACCACTGAGGAACCAGTCAAGGCCCAGCTGAAAGCAGCAGCAAAGGTAGGAGCACTCTTCCCTATTTCATCTTCTTCTGGGGTGGTGGCCAGAAATTCTCTCTCAATTCTCAGCACTTCTTCACAGCTACAGACTGCATATTTCTCTGGGAGATCTCTGTTCAAATCAAGGAACACCATTCCCCACTTAAATTTTTTCAGGAGAGTTGTGGCAATATCTGAGAACCCTAAAAAAAAAAAAAGGCTGGTCAGCCACTTGACACTTTTTTAAAAATGGAGATACTGTTGGGGCCTGTACCTATGAGCAGTTTCACTCTTACTTACAATGGGCAGGGCCAGTGAATCGGGCTTCCATTGCTAGCTGAGGCAAAGAGAGAGGTTACCCCAAACAAGGAGTGGGTCAGAATGGAGAATTTGCTTCCCAGGTGAATGTGCTGCTTCTGCATTTGCCTGATAGTGGTCCAGAACACTGGAAGGTGACAAGCAGAGTAAGTATCTGTCATGAAATCAATATCCCTCATGGCAGGAGAAGCCCAAAATCTATTAGCACCTGAAATGCTCTTATGAGCAATGCTCCCTCTAAACTGTGGAGTCTTGTGAGCAAAAATTCTACTTTATCAGCTACTGGCATTAAAGTTGTGAGTGAGTGATTTGGCTACCGCATAAATTAGTCTGCCCTGGAGCCATCCTTCCTGAGCTAAGACAAAAGTGTGAGCCAGAGGCTAAAAAGCTGTAGGCTTGTTCACACTAACTCAGCTTAGAGGGAGCACTGCTTATGAGCCTTCAAGTCTTGTCCTCCCACCTCCACATTTCTGATATTTTCAAGAGGACTAGGTCTGGGGAAACTGGGGAGGGGGATTTTAAATACACTGGCTCACTGGGGATTTTAAATACACTGGCTCACTGGCTGCCTGTAGGCCAAGCATTTTGCCATCTCTCCAAGGTTTGTTACAAATCGAAGGTATGGGGGGAGCATCCTTTGGAGAAGGGCTGGGGGGGGTGCATTGGACAGATAACACAATGCTTTTGTACACCTACTGCCTCACCTGCTATACAGAAAGTAGCAGCAAAGGCTTCCACACAGGACAGCTTGTACGGCCGGCCGTAGTTCACTGGATTTGCAGCCACCAAGTATGGCAGCTGCAGGGGGTGGCTTCCTCTCATCTTGTTAAAGGGTGCCTCATCCAGCTCTGCCCAAGAACAGTCGATCACAGCAACTCCATTCTGAGCCACAACCAGTGTTCCCTCTAAGCTGAGTTAGTGTGAGCTAGCTCACAGTTTTTTAGCCTCCGGCTCACACATTTTTGTCTCAGCTCAGGAAGGAGGGCTCCAGAACACACTAATTTATGCAGTAGCCAAATCACCTGCTCACAACTTTAATGCCGGTAGCTCACAAAGTAGAATTTTTGCTCACAGGACTCTACAGCTTAAAGGGAACATTGGCCACAACCTGTCTAAAAACGCAGCAGGAGATTCAAACTGAACTGGAGA